AAAAAAAAAAAAACGCTCTTCAGGGCTGGAGAGACAGCTCAGAGGCCAAGAGTGCCTGTAGCTCTTGCAGAGGACCCGAGTTCAATCCCCAATACCCATGTCAGGCAGCTCTAAGCACCCAACCTTCTTCTGGGTTCCGTGTGTACCTGTATACACATAGCACACACACTCATAAACATACATACTTAAAAGTGAAAATAAAAATAAATCATTAAAAAAAAAACCCCAAAACCAAACATGCCCTAGACCAGTGGTTCTCAACCTGTGGGTCGCAACCCCTTCCACGGGGGTCACATATCAGATGTTTACGTTATGATTCATGAAAGTATCAAAATTACAGTTATGAAGTAGCCACAAGAGTAATTTCATGGTTGGGGGTCACCACAACATGAAGGACTGAATTAAAGGGTCGCAGCATAAGGAAGGTTGAGAACCAATGCTCTAGACTCGACCACTTCCAATTTCACCATCTGGTCAAGGGTCAAGGCTCAGCCGCTTTGCTTCCTTCATGAAGCCCGCCAGGATCTCCTGAGCCAGGACCCTGGTAGCTGAACATCTTTCCCCTTGGCTTTGTATCTCCCGTTTGCTATCTCTCCCTTTCTCTCTGTTCTTGCGATGATCTCTGCATGCACTCGATGACGTCTTTGGGGGCCTTGCAGTACGAGCTCATGCCATGGATTTAGCTGCTCTCTAGTTATTGCCTGGTGGACATGTGCACTGGAGCTGGCACCCGACTTTGTATTCCAGTGCTGACGTGGCCAGGCAGCAGGGCAGCTGCCAGACAGGTGAAACAGAGATCTAAGCTCCCATGCCTCCTGCCCACCTCAAAGCACCAGGAGTCATTTTTCTAGCATGAATCTGTTGGTGGGTTGCCAACACGATCTGCTTCCCGGTGAGGGCCAATTTTTCTCTTCTCTTTTCATCTTTGCCTACCACACACCTGCATCCTTCTCAGGGGGAGTAATATAAGAACTAGAAATACAAGATGCACCCGAGGGAGAGAACTACTAATTTTGAAAGACTATATGGTGGTCAGACTAATCTTACCACATGAGCGATTTGGTTTGGACCACTTGCTGCTTACTTATTTTTTTAAGGACTACGTTTAAAATGAACTTTAGTATCTCACTAGCTTAATATCAGCACACCTCCAGCTTGAATGTGAATACACGCCACCAGAGGGGTCTTAGGAAAATGCAGATCCCAATTCAGTAGCTCTGGGCAGACGCTAATTCTGCATTTCTAACAGGCTCTGGTTCCCTGGATTTTAACTCAAAAAAAAGCAAAGATTTTAGGCAGTTCTTAAATTGTGTGCAGTTACTACATTTTCCAAATCATTTTTCTCACTTTAAATTTCTATAGTATCTTGTCTGTGCTATTGTGAAGGCCCATGTTGCCGATTTCATCTTGTTGGGGCTATGCCACACCCTAGAAACACCCTTGAGATGGGAGCCATTTCTTCTTGTCTTCTCTGTATTCTTATAACCTTTAGGTTGCTAGAATGCAGGAGGTCTTGACAGATGTCTGTCCTCTGAGTACTGCAAGATTCTCCTCCAGAGAAGCCCTGTCCAGCAAAGAAGACCACCCCACCCTCCCTGGCCTTCTCAGAAACTGACTTCCTGTCTAGGAGGTAGTCATTTTTATTAGTAATTTGATTGGACCAAATGTCATTTTGGATGCTGTGAGTTTCTAGTCACACTTTGGAATGTGTCACCAGATGTAATATGCCATTTAGCATATGGCAGCCCACTCTACAAAGGGTATTATATGCTTCTTCAAATTTCTCACTGTAATCTTTATAATTACTCAAGGATAATTGCAGGGCCCACGAAACACCCAGATCCAGTTTTCCTTGCTAATAGGTGATTCTTGGTCCTTTTTGGTTATTTTTCAACATCTTGAAAACATCTTGTTGCTCTTGACAGACTTGACAGACATGACAGTCGTTCCGAGTGCTCTCACTAGAGGATGTGCTCAGAGCACTCTGCTCTTCATGTGACTTCCCACCGCCAATCACAGTAAAATGCAAGGCTCGGCAGAGTACTCTTAGCCTTGCTGTCTGTGTTTCCACCAAGTACTGTTCTTGTTTTTTCAGAGGAAATGGATTTATTTTAGCCAACCAAAGTTCTTCTTCTATTAAATGTACTATTTCCGCAGCCAACCAATGCTCTTCTTCTATTAAATGTTCTCGGGCCTCGGTGGTTTTATTTCACTCTTTTTTTTTTTTTTTTTTTTTTTTTTTTTTTTTTTTGGTCTAACCAAGCAACCTCTTCCTCCTGGTACTTCACCATCCCAGCTTCCCCTGGGTGAGTGAGCAAGTCGGCCCTCCTCAGTGGCCCTGCTCAGCTCCTCCTGTGTCCCTGCATGCTCTCACTGTTCTGCCAGCAAAGCCTTATCTCTGTCCCGTCTGCCTTTTCCCTGTGTCCCCAGCACCCAGTGGGTGCTCAACTCACGAAGAATGAAGCCGACAGGGGTGCACTTTAGCTGAATGCTCTATTCGTGTCAATATTTTCCCCTTCTTGGGATGACCCAGAAAGAATTCAGATCAATTTGACACCCGTTATTGTCAATTTCATGGCTTCCCTAACTTTTTTGTGGTATTCTAGTTTCTTTTCAGTTGCTGTGATAAAAATACTCCAACCAAAGCAATGCCATGGAGAAATGGCTTGTTCTGGCTCATAGTTCAAGGTACAGTCCATCCTGGTGGGGCAGTCAAAGCAGCAGATGCTTGAAGTGGCCGGCCACACTGCATCCACAGTCAAGAAACAGAACAGTTAATGCTTGCCGGTGTTCCGCTGGATCTCCATTTTATACAGTCCAGGAGCCTCTCCAGGAAACAGTCACATCCATAGATGGGTCTTCTCACATCAACTAATGTCATCAAGATAATCAATCCCTCACAGACGTGGAAAGAGGTGATTCTAGGTTCAGTCAAGTTGATTGCTAACTCTAATCACCAAAGTACTTTACAATTTCTCTGTGGACAGGTATTATATGTACTCTGGGCCCACACAAGAGCCATTGGCTAAAAGCTGAAGTTCTGGAGGCCCAAGGCCTGCCGTGGTGCTCTGACTGTGTGTGTCTGCTTAGTAGGATGGCAGGTTGCCAACGGAGCATGAGTCACCCATTCTTGAACTAAGATTTAGACTCGATGGAATTCCCCTTTCTCCTGTTCCCGCCACGCTGACTTGACTCAAGCGGAGGGCACAGTGAGTTGGGAGGTCACTTACTCCAAAAGTATGACGTTGAGGGTGGGCCCGACTTTCTAAACCACAAGCAGCCAAAGTATTTCCTTCCTCACAGGGGTTATTGCCAGTCACGCTCATGTGGCCGACAAGTGAAAGCATTTTCAAAAGGTGTCTGTTTTCTCTTTTCCCATTAGACATAAACTCAAATGATGTCACCCTCGCTTGCTTGGTGCTTCAGAGACACTGAAGCTGTTGGGTGACTGGCCATCCAGGATCAGAGCAGACGCAAACACACTCAGTGTCTCTGTGACCTTGAGCAAGTGCTTGGGCCTTTCTGAGTCTCCAGTTTCTCATCTGAAATACACCTGCCGGGAGGATCCCACGAGAGTATCTGCAATAGAAAAGACACTGCAGTCTGTGAGGTTCTTTTCTCGGAAGTCACCTCTCACTGCAGAGCTTCTCAGGCAGTGACAGCTTGAACAGTTCTGGGGACAGACCGGGTGTAAGCCACAAGGGAATAGTCAATGACGTATGGACTATTTAGGATTCCGTTTTCTCTGCAGGAAAGCCTGGGCTATGGGAAGATGCAGGGAGAGGAAGTGGAGAAACCCCACTAAGGAGTTAGGGCCCATGGGCCCACTAACATCTGGATCCCCCAAGGTTTCATTGGAGCTGAGACCTTTTGAGATGTTGTTCCCAAATCTACCATAATCTCTGGGTGAGAAGCCTAGGAATGAGCCTCCGAACAAAGTCAGTGTATGAGTCTAGGCGACAATTAAGAGTTTAAGGTGACTTTTCTTAAAAGTCAGCATCAAAAAGTGCTTTACTGGATGGCCAACCTCCTTGCCATACCCTCCAGTCCTGAGACCCCAGGCTCACTTCTCATGCCCCCTGTTGATTTCTGCAAACAAACTCAGGCCAGAAGGTGGTGATGTGACAAGAAAGACTGGAGATAACTGAGTTAAGCCGCCATTCCTGCTTTGGTACCACGGTCAAGCAATCACTGCTTACGGTCAGAGCAAGCCGGGAGTTGGCATTCTGGTAGTTTCTAGTGCAAGTAAAATGAAGGAATCCGATCTATTGTGATGGAAAGCATTTCATTCTGGGGAAGCAGTCTATGAAATGTATCAACATGGGGGCGTGGCGTGGCACATCCCATCTGAGTGAGCGTCTCTCTCTGCACGAATGGCCTTGACTACGTCATTTTTGCTGCTTTTGCCTCTTCTCCACGTGAGGTAGACTGGCACCTCGTTCAGGACACACTGACTTTTGTCACCACTGCTTTGCACATGGACTTTTGATATAGATGTTTAAAAGAGGCCTAAAAAAGGTGAGGGGAAAAACCCCCAACATTTTCATTTCTAAAGCTTGCTTTACCACCAAATGAAGCAAGAGGCTCATCCATCTCAAGTCCTGCTCAGGTCCCCAACCTCACCTCTGTGCTGATGCTTCTGAGTGCCCCAGAGGTGGGGTGGGGCTAAGGAAGGGATCAGAGATTAAGATTGAAATGACTTGGGTTCTCAGTTTGCATAGTAGTGCTTTGGTCACTGAACTGTCTCCCTGGCCCCTGTCTGGTGGCATGACTGCAGGTCAGCTGAGCTAATTTTCAGACACTAGACACAACCAATGACACTCCAGAAAGTGCTCAACCACATTGCAACAGTTTTCTGAACACGTATGTATTAATTAGCATTAGTCAGCACTGTGAAATCCATTTATGGCAATGGTTTAGAGGCAGTCCCTGAGAGGCTAATTAAGTTAAATTATTTAAGTTTGTAGATGTATTTATTTTATGTATATGAGTGTTTTGCCGGCATGCATGTATGTGCACCACGTGCATTTCTGGTGCTCACGGAGAGCAGAGAGAGGGCATGGGTCTCCTGAAACTGGAAGTTACTCATGAGTTACCATGTGGGTTCTAGGGACCGAACCTGGGTCCCCTGCAAGGACAGCAAGTGTTCTTAACCACTGAGCCATCTCTCCAACTCCTTAAAAATGTTTTTACAGTTAAAAACCTTTTGTAAAACAAGATGCAGTTGATAGGGGGAAAAAAACCCAAAACAAATACAAAGGCAAAGCTATAAAATCCAACAACAGCAACACCTAAATCAGTCCCTAAACAAACAGGGGACACACAAAGAAAGAAAAAGACCTAGCTGTTGCCAGGATCTTTGGAGGAAGGTTGGAGGGATGTTTGGGCATGTGAGACTATTCTGAAACGCCAATCATGGGTGGTTGTATGTCTTCACACACCTGCCCTACTAATGGCAGGTGCATCACTAGAAGAAGTGCTAAGGTAAAGCATGGCCTTGGTTACTAGGATGCCAGTCAATCATAACAGAGGCGAACTGAGACTGGATGGGGAGGGATGGTGTGGGAGCTCACTGTATTCCCACATTTTCATTTTCATTTTTTTAGAAGTTTAAAAGTGTTCAAAAATATATCTTAAAAACAATTTAAAAATTAAGGTACACTTTTTTTTTTTAAACAAATAAGAGTTCAAAGGCATGAGGCATGAACTGGCCCTCATTTCTTCCTCTCACTTCCCAAGGTCCCACCCCAGAGGCAATTTCAGTTTCTAAACTATCCTCTCAGAGATATCCTATCCAAGTATGAGCCCACATGCACATGATAGCCTATCTTCCCCTGCAAAGTCGGGTGTTATACATACAGTTCATTTAAAGTTACAAGACTAATACAGTCCTTTTGCTCAGGCCTGTGGCACTGGCAGGATGGACTAGTGTCATAGTCTTTGTATTATCAGGAAGCTCCATGGTCCCTGACAGGACCAGACATGGCATGCTAACGCACACACGCAGGTATATCTGGGCACAGCCCCGAGGCTGGCCCTTCTGAAGGTGCTTTTCATTCAGAGAGACCGGTCAAAGCAGGCTGGAAGCTCCGCCAGATTCCACCATCAGAAAGTGTGTCAGGGCCCAGCTGATCAGAAACGACAAAAAGGTCACAGCTTTTTGTGTCGGATGATGATCTCTTGAGCTTCAACGAGACACAGACTAAGTTCTGGTTCCTGGAAATGCTTGAGAAGTTGACACGGTTGGTGATATTCCTGGCATCCCCTTGAAGGTGGCTAAAGCAGCCCTGGAATCTCTTTTTGGTGGAAAGACCAGGATCATAAATTTTGATGGATAGAAACAAATAATAATAAATTGTTGTGGCCCCCACAGAAGACACGCACAAAGAAGGACGGATATGGAGCTACAGCAGTGGAGAGGCAGCCCCTCCCCGGTGGTGGGGGCTGAGAGTGGAACAAACGCCAGGGTGTATGTGGGGCTTGGTGTCGCCAGTGGCCAGCAACCAGTGTGCTCAGGCAGCGACATCGTCTCCCAAACATCTGTGGGACGCTTCCTTTCCTAATTACTTTTGGTCTGCGCACAGTTTGGTTCTTGCACTTTAATAGCAAACCCTCTGAGCTCCTGGGAGCCGTTTGTACTCAGGCATTTACCACTGTAGCCCACAACCCTGTTTCCACCATCTACATTGTGATTCAACTGCTTTCTGCGAATCTAAGAAAGTAACTGCTAACATGGCACCTTGATTTGTTTCTGACATTTTGTTTTTCAGAGTAAATTAAGTGAAATCCAGGGACTGAAGACACCAGACTTATTCTGTCTAGGATGATAGCTCTAGTCACATGATACAGGATGCTTAGCATTTTGTGATGGACTACATACAATGTGCTTATTGTTAGCTTGTGGTTCTTTGTATAGCTCTTTTTTTCTTGTCCTTCTCTTCCACTCCACTAAACAGATAATCTCCACAAAGTCAGGTGACATTTGCTTTGTGAAAGCATCTGCACATAGTAGGTATTCAGTCAATATTTGCTGAAGGAAGAAAGGACTTTTTTACTTGAGGAATGTTGGTTGTGGTGAGGAAGGGGTCAAGGGCACACCCGTCAATATGTAGGTGAGAACTGGAGGATAAATAACATTGAATTTTAGATTGTGGGCTATAGTTTATAAACTCTGTTGGAGTTCACAGGGAGAAAACATGGATGAGGTTTGGGGACAGACTGGGGCCGAAGCTTGAGGCAAGCGTGATTCAGGGCTATAGTTTGGGTAGGTGCCGAGGAAGGAGCTGTCACTTGGTCAGTGGGTGGGTGCAGTGTTCATGCTATTGGATTTCTTTCCAAACAGGAACTTCAGTGTTTGCATTTCCAGCATCATGTCACTTCATCTTTTCTTCAGTATTTCTCTTTATTGAACCCCACTTTCACATCTTGCATTGACTTCCTTATTTCTGTCCACAGCTTGTCTGTGTTCCCTTGGAATTCACTCTTTGATTTTTCCTCTTCCATTTCTTTGAGCAGTCTAGTCATCATTGTTTTGAATTCTTTGGAACTTCTCATCCCCATGGAGACATCACTACGGGATGGGCAGTTTTTGGAGGAGACCTGTTAGCTTTTTTTTTTTTTTTTTTTTTTAAATTGCTACTTGTGCTGGGACTTACATATCAGGAGTTAGCTCATTGGTGTAATATTCTGTGTTTGCAGTGTTTGAGATGGACAGGTTGCAGTAGGGTTAAGATGTTATTTCCTGTGGAACTGGTATTCAGGGTCCTACACTCTATCCCTGGCCCCAAAATAACAGTTACTGTTCATGGTAGACCTACTATGACAATAGAGTAATAGTCAACTATACAACAACCACCCCTCAAACATTATCACACCAGGCAGTAAAGGGGTGTTGACTGCACTGTGCATGCTAACGATACATTAGCTATCGCCGGGATGGATGGAAAAGAAAAGACAAAGAAGGAAAAACACAGTAAGGACTGTTGGTTAGCACTGGAATGGTAGAAAGTAGAAGAGGGACGCATGAACAGGAGAGGGAAACAGTGGTAAAAAGTGGGGAGGGGTGAGGGATTTTGGTGGAAAGACTGAAGAGAGAAGGACAAAGATGTGCAACCAGATAACACAGAACAGTCATCTCAGGACTGACGCGCAGAGCCCTGCAAACCAAGGCAGACCACGGTCTTCAGGACAGGGAAAGCAAACAGAGTGGATAAAGAGAGAAGGGAAGTAAAGAAAAAGAAAACCAAAGCAATATAAGGCCAGAATAGAGCAGGCCTGGCGTGGATGGGCATTAAACACAGATGAGGCAAGATGTAGGAGAGAGAGAGCCAGGCAGGGGCAGAGGATGTGACAACTGTCTGGCCTTAATTTTGGCTCTCATCTGGATTCTTGTATTCCTTCCTTCCCACTGGGAAGCGCTCTCTCTCTCTCTCTCTCTCTCTCTCCCTCTCTCTCTCTCTCT